GAGTCGGTAAACATTGAACAATATCTCTAAATGAGAGGGCGAACGGATTTGCCAGCCAATAACACTAAACACCGGCTCGGGGCTATTGCCTCCTCACCCTTCCTGAACCTTTAATGATAAAATCGATACCGCATAATTAAACTTTGGACATTTTTATGGTAAAGTCATGACGGGATGCCGGAAGAGATTGGACAACCCTGTTTCCCGGCATGACCGAATGAAATGGAGGGCAGGGATCAAAATATACAGCATACCATTACTGTCTATTTTTTGTTAGCTCTAAAGCCGGCTATTAGCTCATAAACAAAATTTTTTTCTTCTTTCTTGAATTTCAAGCAAGAATAAATTCTCTCTCTCTTTCTCTCTCTCGCCTCTCTCTCCATCTCTCTCTTTCTCTCTCTCTCTCTCTCTCACTCTCTCTCTCTACCTCTCTCCTTCCCTCCCTCTCCACTATCTCTCCATCTCTCTCTCTCTCTCTGTCTCTCTCTCGAATAATAAAAAATATATTAATTAAAACTTTAGCGGCAGGCTTTTGATAAAACCATCCTCTCTTCACAAAACCTCACAATTCTCTTGCATTTTAACGATCAATCGATTCATATTTAACGTATATTCCGTGATTTTTATCTATACAGCTTAATTCTATCAGCGTTGATCACCACTATAGAATCGGCCCACGACAAAAGATACAATGTCGGCGAATGGCATTTGTCGAGGAACCTGACCTAGGGCAATAGACTGGGCCCCCAGTAAGGGATCGTCGGCAGTTATGAGTTGACAAAATCCGTAATGACATTTGCAAAGGCCCGTCCGAAGGATCTTCATCTGTCGCTTCACGGTCGTTGAACAAACTCAATAGGCGATAAGAGTCAGACTAGCGGCTGTAAAAGGGGGATCATCCGGCCACTCGACAGTGCATTAATGCAGCCTCAGCGCATAATCTAATCTGAATTTTAATTACCTTGTTAAAGCCGTTTTTTCTCTCTCTTTTTTTATAAAAGAGCGAATGTCTTTGGAGACAGCTTGAAGAAAGTTCAACCGACCGTATAGCACCATTATTTGCCGAGGGGCAAGCTCGTCTTACTCGAATAACAGCAAACTACTTTGTGTCCTATTTGAAATATGTCAGAATTCCAAGAAAAAGAATATAAATATGAACTCCTTTTTAATGGCTCAAAGATCTGTTTGGTAGATACTTTAAGTAATTAGTGTATCAAAAAGATATATAAGTTTTTTATTTTTGGTCATCCATTTACATACCGGTAAAGTTTTGAAAAAAAAATTCACCTTGTAATTATTTGTTTTACAGAAAATTTTATCAAGATGGTTTATATAATTTTTTATATAGAAATCAAAGATAACATCCAAATTTCTGTCAACGTTAAGGTAAAGAGTAAAAGCTGAAAAAGTAATTTTTCTACCATATGTGTCATTGAGGAGAGCTTAACTGTTTTTCTTATTGAAAAGTATATATTTTTCATTTTGTATAATTTAACGGTACACATTGCATTATTATTAAAATTCTTTTAAAAATTGATTTTTTTATCAATTCCTCCTTTACAAATTAAAGGTTTATTGTATATCTTTACAAAAGTTTGTTTTTATTAACAATTTCAACATCCCCATTATTCCTACGTTTTTCATTATAGATTTCACATTCTAGCACGTCCTGGGAAGAGCAAGATCACCCCGATGGGGTTAAATCGTTCGAAAGCTAGGGCGCTACCGTGATTTAAGGCTACAATTAACACCATAAGTAATAAAAGGTTATTATTGGCGATAAAAAGTTCTTATCTCTTTTATAACACTTTCCAATTTCCCAACCTGTCTCAACAAAGGACTACTCTTCATCCAATACTTTCTACGAAAAATGAAATTCTACAACCTGCTCCTCTTCGTAGACAGATTTGCGTGAATCTCAAGTGATTAAAGTAGAAAAAAATATTTAGTGATCTAAAAGAAAGAAGCTTCATATCAACGTTGTTTTGGTCTGCCAGACGCCTTTTTGCACATATCTAACTTATACCGTAATGATATAAATTAAAATAAAAACCTTCAATACCGACACAAAAATAGACATAGCAACATCACTTTTGAACACTTTTCAGCATGGTAATATGATTTGAACCATCCGTTTAGCTTTCGCTCTCATCATTCAACCGTCCAGTAAGTGGTTTGCGTTACAGACCGCATATATTTTTTTCTTGAACACAAAGAATAAGTTCTTGACGTGGAGCAAGTTTGACAGGATATGGAACAAGGTTCTCCTTAAAAAAATTAAACCATGTCCTTCTAAAATGCTACACTTAATCGTTCACTCTTATATTTCAGAGCTGTTTATTCGGGCCTAATATCATATTATTCCAAGTAGTGCTCTCTGGCATCAGGAATACCGCAGGGTGGTCAGACCAATCCTTTATACATCAGATGTCCCAACTACACATTCCGTGGTATGCCTTGGCGATTAAACAAGAGTATTAGCCGATGATTTCGATCCAACAATTGCTATGGATGATCTGTTAAGGCATACCTCTCCTGTATAGTGTGGTGTAGACAAAGGAAAATGAATGCCACGTTTGTACGCCGAAGTAAATCTCCTCGCACAAGCTACCACGACAATATTCGTATATCCCAATTTGATGACTGTTCGTTACTTTGCATTTTCTCAACATTCATGTTTCTACTGTCATTGTTGCAATTATGTTTTTTCGGTCTCCTTGGTACTAGAGACTATGTTCCTTTCGAGCGGTTGCTTTCCATTTTAAGATGAAAAGGGTGACAGTTTCTTCTGATCATTGTGTAACGGAGTCATCAATAAATATATCTATGTTGTGTAGGTGTTTGCTCAGATGCCAGTGATCAGTATGTAAAACTATCTAACTTTCCGATCGGTGGTTTGGTGGGCGAATCCATTACAGCTAAGGGCTTTCAGGATCCTAAGTACAGTTCTGAGACTACCCTGTCTCTGTCACAACAAAATTACCCATGTTTTTGTACCGGGGTACAAGAGCAGAGGGGCGACGAAAGGACCAATAAATCGGCCAAAGAGTGTTTGATGAAGACACCTAATCACCATGAACCATTTTGTGAAATACCATACTACCAAACACGTGGATCAGTCTAACTATAGGTTTTTAAAAAAAGTCCTCGGTTCACTGGGAATGCTGCAGAGGCATACGAAAAAGTAAATCAAAGCCCATCGCAGGAACTATCAGAAGGACTCAGAACGGCTGAATTTTCAACGTGGTAGGACTAGAATAATAATAGTTGGACTCAAGACAACTGTAAGTGGCAAAAATCTACCGACTGTAGGCTGTCCTCTGTTGACGCAAATGTTTATGTAGGCTGAGATTCCTATTCCTTGGAGAGAAAAAGTCAGGGTCTGAAGGATACAAGATTTGGAATTTTGGACAATCCTTCACCTTAATGAAGAGTTAAACATCTAGCTCTAGAAAACAATGGAGTTGGCCAATAGAGAAATATTGGTCGCAGTGCTCTCTTCTTAAAAAGGTGGAGTCCTTTTTCAAATTTAATCCACCACTTTCACACCCTGAGGTTTACCATCTCTAGAATCTATAAGCCGTCGGAAATAGCCCCACGACCTCCTTTCTGGCGGGGAATTTTGTCTACTATTGAAGTGAAGTGCAATAAGAAAACATTTGTGATTATTTGCCCCCTTCAATGCGACCATATATGTAAATATTTGTAAATATATAAATATATCCTCAAATAAATTACTGTTTCAAAAAGTTTATAGAATTAAAACCAATCAATGTTTTTTTATCTTTATACGCATTAAAATCTAAATTTTGGTAGAATTTTTCTATTTGTGTTTTTATGAAACCTCTGAATAGGAAACATAATTATTCATTATATTGCTTTTATACGACCTAATTGTTGATTTCTTCATTCTTTCTTCATTCTTAAGCCATTCTTCATTTAGTCCAAACCTGTTGGATAACGCTGATCATAAATAGTTTTTTTTTTAATATCTAAACGATTTACATATTGTACAACAAGTGATTTTGTACCATTAACTAAACGTACGTCAAGACAGTTGTTTAATATTTATAATTCTTAAAAGTTCCAGGCATAAATAGCGTAGATGACTATGATTTCTATCGATAATCATAAATATTATCAAACCATTGCCCTTTTATAAAGAAAATTAATAACATTTACATAAATCTGCTGTGAAATTGCAAACGGTAAGTAGCCAGCCATCTGTCGTTGTGATACGGCGAACACGTCCGTGGCGATGATTGATGACCACCGACAATGGCTCCTAATCAGTAACATGGGCTAATGTTGAACATGTTACCAGGTCAAGTTGCAACTGGCTCCAACATCACCTCCTTCCGATTTGCATTATCGCGACATTAACAAAACTGTTTTCATACCTTGTCTGTGAACTAAACCAATTTAACTGCCAAACGATATTTCAAAACTTGCGGATATTTTGTCCCAAAGATCCAAGTGAATTTTGTAAGAGGCAGTGTAGGTTAAACATTAGACTGATTTTCTACGTCTATATTAAACATTAAGTAAGATTTTGCAAAGGGGTTCGTTAAATCAAATAACTAGACATTAATAAAATAACAACTTTACTTTTAATCGTTATGAAGTATTATTTATGTATTAAATTTTTACCTCTATATGCTACATGATTCAGTGTTTTGTATAAGCGTTATTTTTAACCGTGTCCTTTTATTGAATTTATTTTATTAGATTTATTGTGTTTCTACGTAAATAATTTTATTTTGATTATTTTATTATTGTTTAATATTATAAAAAGTTAAACGATATTTTGTTGATGTCTGCAAGGTAATGGGCATGCAGTTTGATCGTCTCAGATCAGAGTAGAATGCTTTTTTATTATAAAGTGAAACAAAAAACAATTAAAAATATAGTTAGGCATTTTTGTAATTAAATAATTCATAAGAATTGTTTAAAAATTCAAATAAAAAAGTGAAAGTTGACTTTTGAACACGTGTTTGATGTTTTCAAATAGAAAATACGTTGTCGACATTTTCAAAATTTATCAATATATTCTTAGAAACAATATAATCAGCAATGCAGACGTAGCGGTGTTGGATTTCTGACTTGATGATTTAAACCCATCCATAAACGGAATGTCGAGTTTAAAAATAACGTTAACCTTATGAGTTATGCCACATTCGTAATTCCACGACGCGATGCCGTACAGTATATCATCGCAGACGAAAGGAGACCCCATGTCGCCGTAGCAGAAAGCTCCTTCGCCTGGCTCGACGGATTGAGCACAGAACGCGTTGTTCTGTTCCGGCAAGAACCTGCAGCTTTCGTCGCTGACCTGACACAGCAGTTGTTGACACTCGTCAGGAGCCAGGAACTGCAAAGCTCGAGTTTGAAGATACGATTTTGGGCTGATGGGTAATGCCTTGCCAACTGTATCGTAAGTGCTGTGTCCCCATCCAAAAACATAGCATTGCTTATCGCCTTTCAGCCAGTAGGACGTGTCTTCGGTCAATCGGAGTAGGTCTTCATAGTAGTCGGCTTGGGAAGAAGAGTACTGAATAAATTTGAGTGCGCTGCTCTGATCCAGATGCTCTTCGAGTCCTATGACGCCGATGTCGTTCACCCACATGTTCGTGTCCTCGTCCACGTTGCATCCCGGATGAACTTGCAAAGAGGCTACTTTGACCACTATGAACTCATTGTCCACTTTCACATTGTACCTACTGCCGGCGGTCACTTGGTAATCTGAGGGAATTCGACTGGTATATCTGGCCACTGTGCTTATCGCACCTTCGTAAATGCAACTGCATGCGGTTATGAGCCGGAAGGACGAGTAAAACGCAGCGCCGCACACATGTTGTCCGTCGGAGCTTCGCTGCAGACTGCCCATGAACAGGCCCTCATTTCCAGCTACATTCCTTCCACCGATTAATTTTACGTCGTTAGGTCTGCATTCTAAATTCAAAAATGTACTACTTAAAGCTAAAACCAAAACAACAATTTTCGTAACACTGTTAAAATAAATAGCATAAAATGACATACTTGGTATATTTACGAGAACATAATTTAACACGTGTTATTTATTTATTTACACTCTATTGCTAAGTTGAAAATTAAAATTATGTCAATCGAAGCAAATTTACATCCCTCACAGCATCTTATATAAATCAAGATATATCTCGCAACATAATTTTTTAGTATTAAACAAAACAATTAAGAAACGAATGAATTTTAAATTAGTAGACTTTGGTCACAACTTATTTTATTTATTATATAGTTTCATGTCAGTTATATTAGAAAACAGCGACCTCGCAGCATCATTCATACGAAAGATATTTTTTTCTGGAGAATTTACAAATATCAAAAATGATGTCAAAACAATTATTTTTATTGAATAGGTTAAAACTGCCCAAAAATTTATGTTGTTATTTTATTGATTATTATCTACTCACTGTAATGCAAAATTATGCTTCAGCCACATTTTTTCCAATATTTAAAATTATAAATGGTAGATTTTTCAATAGTTACTTTACACTGCTTTGGCTGTTGGCACAGAAAGTGTAAAAAATTTTCAAAGCTGCACAATGAGTTCTATGTTTTTATCAAAGGATGCAAATGCATTGTTCGCTTGATTCTAAATCTACGATTTTTATTTCGTTGATAATATTGGTTTCTATTCATGATTGCCTAGGGAGTGGATATCTAATCTGATTGTTCCCGGTGTGATAACATTGAAATTTGTAATTTTTATAATTTGAATTGAATTTTTTTATCTTGTGATTTGGTTTCCTAATGTAATAGTTTTGAATTTGAAAATTCCTATTATAGTTTCTGTTGAAATGATGGTGGTTTCCCCTTTGGTTTAAAATGTCGCAATGGAATGTATTGTAATTTGGGGTGAAGTTTGATACTGGTTTGTATGATTTGCGTTAGAAATTCTTTTTATGATTGCATAGGCGGGATTGTTACTCTCCTATTTCGTATAGCTTCATTTCAATTTCTTTCAAATCCTTATAAATAGTTAATGTTATTTTCGTACTAACTAAACTCATTATTATTTGTATCCAATGATGCTATAATTCATTTTTTATTTCCATTTTCGTCGTTTTTTTATTAAATTGGGTTAATTTTATTTCCAAATCCTTTTGTTCCCTTCGCAAGTTTTTGTTTCTGGAGTTTCTGGAGGAGGGGAAGATGGAGAAGTTTAATCTTTCTTCCGATTTTGTTTTTAACTTCGACTTGTAGGTGATTTCAAATTCAAAATGTTTTTAATATATTAATGTATAATAATTATATAGTTGTAAATAAAAAATTCAATACAAAATATTCAATTAAATTTTTCATGTATGGAAGCTAATTTTTGTTTTTTAATGCTTTAGCAATTGGCTGCGGGGGTGCAAGCTCCCAGAAAATGAGCGTTAACATACATATCTATGAATACCTACGTAAATAAATAAATCATAACAACTATAATAACCAAATAAATAAATAATTTAATTAACAAAATTTAAATGTTTATATTTCTATTTTAATACAGAACCCAAAATTGTTCCATATAAGTTAATAAATAATTATAATTGATTTATTCTCGCAACGTGAAACTTGGATCAGATTTAACATTTTTCCGTTTGGTCATGCTAAGAGGGACAGTGCATTATAATGTGCTCAAGATCTTCGGTATTGCAACAGGTAAACAAATCAGAGCAACGTTGATTTATTCTGAGCTGGAATGTTCCACACAACTCAAGGTTGGTACGGAATGTGTGGTGTTTAGTGACCGTTAGACAATGATTATTTGGAGATCGTGAGATGCGGTATGGTGAGACGTAGGTTTCAGAATTTTTTTTTTATCGTGCCAATGTTTCGATTTTTATTGAGATCATCTTCAGGGCCTTGTGTTGTCTGCATTTCTGCAAAAAGGTTCTCTGATTGATAGCCGATGCAAGTTTCTTCTCATTGACATCGCCAACAATGAGAAGAAACCTGCATCGGCTATCAATCAGAGAACCTTTTTGCAGAAATGCAGACAACACAAGGCCCTGAAGATGATCTCAATAAAAATCGAAACATTGGCACGATAAAAAAAAAATTCTGAAACCTACGTCTCACCATACCGCATCTCACGATCTCCAAATAATCATTGTCTAACGGTCACTAAACACCACACATTCCGTACCAACCTTGAGTTGTGTGGAACATTCCAGCTCAGAATAAATCAACGTTACTCTGATTTGTGTACCTGTTGCAATACCGAAGATCTTGAGCACATTATAATGCACTGTCCCTCTTAGCATGACCAAACGGAAGAAATGTTAAATCTGTCTGTTCTTTATAGTACACTATTTTTGGTTAAGCTTATTTTGTCGAACTATGGCTTCTTTTCCTACAGATTTGGCAGCTTTGAAACCATTTACGTCGAATTCACTTTGACACTAATTTTTGGAGTCCGATAGGAATATGTTGTATATTATTATAAATATATTTGAATTCTCTTCATCATTCATTACCACCTTCTGCTTCTGTTATCCGCCTTTTCATTGCCAGGTATGCTCATATGTTCTCTCACCCAACAAAGGAAGACTCGCGCGTTTGTTGACGTTACAAGGCAGAACAATGGTTTAACTAAAACAATTAGATAATGTGCGCCGCCTTGATATCAAAATTTTCCAGGCTTTCTATAACACTTCGAGTCTCATAATATGCAATAATTACGAGCGACCGAGTTTATTATTGAGACACTGTCTAAAGCTTTCTATATGCCCAACATTTCCGCTGAGAACATACTAAGACACGAAGGCAGTTTAAACTTTTCAGCTTTCTGTCTCTGGGTGTCATACCAAGCAGAAGTTGTAATCATGGCTTATTTAGTTTTTTGACATTTTACATTTTTGTTAATGGAATTGTTTTGTTAGAAGAAAACGCTTACGCTCGCCACCAACATTATAAAGAAATAGTTGTGTTTTTTTACTTGATGATACAATTTAATAAACGCGAGGTCCTCAGATAATCTTCAATGTGTGTAGCATAAGAGAAAAGTGGCAGTAAAAAGGAATGAATTTAAACGAATCGTTAAGATTGCTTTTCCAAAAGTATCAACAATACAAAATTTATAATATTATATGAACAAATAATGATGTTATAATCATTTACACTCTTAATATATCCAATTAGTTTTTTTTTCTGATTTGAACATTATAATTTATGAGATAGCTGTTAATATACGAGCTAAATCATTTATTTATTAGTTATATGTATTAATAAGTGCATTTCTTACAATTAGTGAAATCTGAGTATTGACGTTAAAACGGGTTAAATGAAAATCTTAGAAGAATCGCGACGATTGGGTGCGATACGATAAATCCAAAAGCCATATTAATTTATTATATAACGAAACTGCAGAAATTCGGCTCATTACCCAATATTAAAGCTGATTTCTGTGAAACTATTCAATATCTGAATTGGGCAGAGCTTAATGGGGTCGTTTTCCCCATCGAATATGAAACTATGTCGTCCCCCGTTCTTCCGCGACTGTAACTGAAGGTCGACAGACTGTCTCTAATCAAGTCAAATCCTTTGTTGAGCCATGGGACGGATCGATGAGGAGAAATGACGCATCGGGTCATTGTGCCAGTCGGCCTCATCCATATGTATGAAAAAACCCCTTGTGCTACTAGTGTAAACAATCTAGGCCCGTTACCATAGAACTGTGACAAGGGTACCCATTGGCCAAATTCTTGGGACAAGAAAAACGAGACAATTCGGCGTTTTTGCTGTACTTGCGATATTTACTGCATCAAATAAAGTGCATAAAAATGCCAAACTTTTAATGCTGAAATAAAAAGTCTTATGATATATGTTATATATATTGTATGGGTCTTACAAGAAGAGGCTACTCACGTGTGTTCACAGATTTTAATTACACTTTTTGGTTATAATAAGTCAAAAACATAAATAAAAAACGTTCCCCAACGTTTTTGCCAATGGTTACAAAAACTAAATATCTTTCGGCACCCCAGTTCCCATTGAGTTGAGTATTAAGGAATAAGGTCAAAAAGAGTCCGTCTCTTTACGACCTTTCACAATACGACCAGTATTGGTACATTGTGCAATCGCAATTATTATCTATTATTATCCAAACGTTGCAAAATCCCAAGTTCTCCGTGGTTTAAATCTTTTATTTAATTTTGCCTATTGCATGGCGCTTCGGGCTTTCCGCCCATCATCAGACCTAAACATGAAAAACCGCATGGTACAATTGCTATCTGAATGAGGTTTTCTATGTTTCGGTTCTGATGATGGGCCATAAGCCCGAAACATCCATGTAATAGAAAATTAAATGAAAAATTTCAACACGGAGAACTTGGGATTTTTCAAGCTTTGGAAAATAATTTCTAGGAACCGTGGATTTTAAGAAAAAAGATAATTATTATCTAGAACTCTTCGTTACGCTGAAGGCTTTTTATTAGATCCAAATCTTTGTTAAAGCCTCTTTCAAGTCTTGACTTGTTCTCTCCCAGAACTAGGTATACCAGTCTACATTGGACTTCGCCGGAGGACATATTCTGCTGTTTCCTCATCTTCGTGGCAAAAACAGCTCAGTTTTTTTTATTATTTTTTTATTGATCCAAGTCTATACATGTTCAAAGCTTGCATTGCAGTTCTATTATCTAGTCTTAACCCATCCTAGGATTAGTAGTTCTGCTGTTATTTTTTGCGATTGTCTTGTAATGCCCCTGGCCTGGATACAATCCCACGGAGCCGAGGAGTTATTTTTAATCCGTTGCCGATGGATCTTCGTTTTCTACATTATGCTGCAATAGTACTCCGGGCCAATAAGCCTTCGAACTAACCTTGGCCAAGAAGTCTTTTCAGAGGATCTTCGGAAGAGGTCAAAACAGAGAAAACTTCCTTACGGTTTTCGCCGAGCTTTCGACAGTTTTATACTGTCATCTTCAGGGCCTGTTTTATTATCATATAAACAAACAATTAAAACATAAAAAAACAATAATTACAACAATAATTGGATATCTTACTTTAAAACCTTAATAGGAAATTAAACAACATGGTGTTTTGGGCACAGAAGTACATTATGTTTTTTTTCGGCTCAGCTAAATATTGAT